TGACACTGACGAAAAGCTGCAACGTGACGCGTTACATTATTATTAAATAGCCGAAATATACAAAAGAGAAAAAAGAAAATAAATGTACACGAAGTTTAGAATTTAGAGGTAGACCGAACGGCGAGTTCGGTGGGTGAAAAGGATCAAATTCGTTTAGAGTTACATTTTCGTTTACTGTAATTTAGAAAAGTAAGTAATGACTGATGATTCAATTAATTGACTGATGATTGACCGATGTAAGAAAGTCCCGCGATTTTATTTATACTCGAAATAAAAAAAATATACTAAAAACTTTGAACTCTTGGCAACAGCGAGCGGAAACGATAGATCTATTGGCTTCTCGGAATCGTTATAACTAACAGTCAAAACTTTTTAAATCAACTCTACTGACTATAATTTTTTTTGTGACAATACGACCATTGCATAGTTTTGGTCAAAGTAAGTTGGATTAAAAAATCTTTACTGTTAATTATTCACTGGCGAAGTAAATGTTACTATTCGGTTTGTTCTGACTAAGTTCGCGAACACAGCGAGATAGCAGCTTACGTTTGATCCCGTCTTGATTACGTTTGAAATCAACACGCGTTTAAATCGATTGCCGAAGAAGCCCCGAAAACAGTCAAGTTTTATTATGATAAACGTTGAGAAGAAAATCGATATAATGTCGCAACGCGCTATGAATCTATCGTTATCCTTAAGCTATCGCAATGTCGAATATTTTTATTTTTATTCGAGAAATCTGTAAATGATCAACCCATTTATCATTGCTAAAAACAGTCAATATTTCTTCCGGTGAAATATTTTGTATAAAATTTGCAGTTGCCGAAAAAAGCTGAATAATCAGATGCTAAATTTAAACGAAGAACTTTTATAACTCACGACTAGTTTCGCTGATCGTGAGATTAAATTAAAAATATAAGAATACTTTTTTAAAGTTTTGCACACTTTTATCGTAATAATTATTATGATATTATTTAATTATTTAATTCTTATTTTTTACTTTCGAATTACCTTCTTCTAAAACGACGATATAGTTTCATACCGAATGAAGCACAGAGACTAGATTAACAAGAGATACAAAATCAATCAAAAAAGCTATGTCTTATTTTCATTTTTTTTTTAAGAGTAAATTTAATAACTTATTATTTCAAAATGTTTACACACAACGAAATGTTTACATTTTGAAATAATGAGTTATTAAATTTAACTCAAATTTGTTGAATTTATTAAATTTAACTCAAATTAGCCGATTTATAAATTTTTGTGAAGCATTTTCTTTCATCTCCAGGTGATCGTATTGTAATTCTATTAATTAAATCGAGCATCTGTGTATGTAATTCGCTCAACATCACATACGTCTCGGAATTAAAAATAAAGATAAATAAACTGGTAAAAAAATAAATAATGAAATATAAGTTTATTAATTTCTTCATCTTCATATATTAAGGAATAATTATAAATTTGATTGTTTGAAATAAATCACATTTTATTGAACTCGAATTAATGACAATAACGAAAACGCAAATAAACATTGAAAAACAAAAATCAAGCTTAAATTTAAGAAAAATTAATACTTCGTTGAAAAAGGTAGTTGCTAAAGACTCCGACGCTATAATGTGTATGTACACAGAATAATCTACAGAACGAAATTTTTTATAAGACATAGTACTGATAAAAATAAATAAAATATTTACAGGTAACATAGGTTTGTAAGAATTCTTATTTTTTTTTACATGCAATATTACACTTCAATATTTGCAAATGTAAGTTCCTTATCTGCCTTAAACGGTAACAAAGAATAATGAGTACTGCCTTCAGGTAAGTTACTTTTCTCAATTAACTCCATTATCTTAATTAAATTCTCTTGTGGTAGACCTCGAAATTGATCAGTATTCTTAATCTCTTCTATGTAAAATTTAATAAAAGTTGCCGAATGTGTTCTCAAAAATTTTGCATTAGACAACAACGCAAGCTGTATAAGTTCCATAGCATTGTAAACATCATGTCAACATGGTACGTCATACTTATCAGCTGCTGTTAATAAATCTTGTAACGTATAATAATCTTTTTGTTCTATCGAGCCAGTTGCAATATATAATAAAATCTGCTTAAGGGGGTAGTACCCTCTGGCGGCCGAAAATAAGGGTAAATTTCAAAATTTATTTGTGACAAAGTGGTAGGCCAATCAGGTTCATGGTGTATACGATATTGAAGTACATGTTTAGGTGCATTTGCAGTATTTTTTATATTGAAAAATAATGAGAAATGTATGAGTTATGAGTCATCTCGCAGAGTCCTCCAGCGCGCGCGCTCGACTACGGTGTACATAATAGCTCCTGCACGGCGTGCCTGAAATGAAAAACGCAAAAAGGGTATTAAATTCAAATATATTTCCCACAAGTTGACGTTCGATAATTGTAAAAATGTTAAAAATTGTGAAAGAGTTATAGCACTTAACAAAAAGAAGTTCATTTTGTGCCGAAAAAACCAACGGTTTTTTATTGTTATTGACACATGGTTCATCGGGGACAAAAAAACTCTACGTCAGCATTATGCTGTTATATTGATATAAGCCAAACGCCAAGACAGCCGGAATAAAAGTACGTTCGGAATCGCGTACACCGTTTCAAAAAAAGTCGTTTCAAGATAAACGCGTTTAAAGTTTTGGCAACTGTTTTCTATGCGATAAAGTGATAATTATTTCATCCTACCATTATTCTGCTGTTCCTGCACCATATTGCAGCCCTTCTGCATCGGCTAAAATGTCCTCTGCAGCAAATCTCTCAAGCCTACGAGCAGATCTTGCCTTTCGCGTGCTTTCCTGCGCTTGAAGATCGGCAGCATTGACGCACTGTTGATCAGCATACACGCTCCACTGTTGTGCTTTGTCGCCAATTTTCAAATTCAATACCTGCATAACATTCAGATATGCCATTGCTCCTTCGTTGAATGTACTGCAGGCAATATATGCTGCTATTTCGACGACCTCAGCACTCTCGGAAGATATTTTTGACGCAATTTTCCATGTGACAGAGTTTACACTTTCATTACAATTTTGATTGTAGCCTCCCAGTATTTCCAATTCCTTTTTCTGTACAAGTACATCACCATATGGTTTCGATTTCAAGATTGCAGCGAAAGTTTTGCTATCTCCATCTCCAATGTAAAACAAGTATCTTATTCCATGAACCTCCAAAGATCGTTGAAAAATATCTACGATAGCATCAACTTCCATCTTCCGTGCAGATCCTGTATGATTGGCAAAACATTTAGCATCGTGCGTTTTCTTCCACTCTGCATACTCTTCGGTGTCCTTTTGTTTTTCCCAGTGAGCGCAAGCCTTACAGTAAGATGATTTTATCACAACATCGAGTACTTTTTTGGAATAATGGCCGATTACAGTACAGACGCCATACAATGTTGAAGAGCCTAGTTTTTTCCATGTTCCGTCTCCAGACACACTTAGACCATTTAGTTTTTTACAAGTTGCCGCTTGCAATGTTAGCATTTTTTCCTCTTCTCCTGCCTTCTCTCGTATTTTTTCCCATACAGCTTTCGCTGCACAGAAAATATTTTTTTGTATATATACGTATGATTTATGAATAACTGGTCTCGGTAAATCCATTATACCACAAAACTTTTCTATTCCCGCTAATCCTTGTCCAAGTAATCTCATGGCAAAAGCAATGCGTCTGTTAATATCGTAAGCATTACCACCGATAAGCGGACTAGAAAATACTCCTCGCGGTTCACACGCATTACACGTTATTAATATTTTAAAACCGAGTCCACGAATACTTGACTCCAAAAATTCCACTTTGCCTCCACAAGTTGAGCACTTCACATGGTTACTAATTGCAGAGAAGACTGCTACAAAATTTATAATTCTATAGCCGAATTTCGCGTCAATTTCTACATCCACCATCCGATTTTGTAATTTTTTCGCTGATTTACTAGTACTGGCTGTCTCTTGCTCCTTCTCAAATACATTCAAAGGACGTATCCTTTTTTTCGGTCTACAAGGTCTTCCCTCAGTATTTCTGGAACCTTTGCAACTTGCACTTGCTCGTCTCTTCGGCATTTTATTTTCGTTAGACTCACGCGGTGTATACTGTCAAACGGACTGTGAAATACTGGTTGAAATTGAAATAACGGAGCAGGTATGCAGAACCACGACCGTGTGCAGGACTTTAAATCTAACGGTTGCTAGTTCCCCTCTGCCATTGAATTATTGAAAAAATATATACAAGGAATGGACAATACAATTCGAACGAGAGAAGGGTCTGCAGCAGGTATAATTCTCGTAAACACCGAGCGGCGGCGGCGTCTCAGACCGGTTTAGCGGCCGACACTACTTCGCTCCAACGGCTATAACTTCGTCAATTTTTGGAATTTTGCAATCGGCAAGGGCTCAAAATACGCGTAAAAGATAACACTTTTAAAATATGCAATAGAAAAAATCGATTTTTTGAAATTTCCAAAGGGTACTAGGTACTCCCTTAAGAGGTAATGCCACTCTAGAGTCCCAAAAAAAGCCAATTTTTGATAATTTTTTTCAGAAATACAATAATCATAAATGAAAATTGGTTTAATTATATTAATTATCTATATATTAAAGTATAAAAAAATTTTTCTATTAATTATTTATTGCCAAAATGGCAGCACCAAAGCCATTGCTCCAAAGTGCCTTTTTGCGGAAAGCGTCCAACGGGCGGAATCGAAGCTCCTATAATTTCTGAGCTGGAACAAAAATTCAAAGATTTTTGAAAAATATAGAAGTTTTTCTATAGAAGTACCTAGGGAAATTGCGAAATATCATTTTTTGTAAGAATGGTGCATATTGGAAAAAAGTGCTTCATTTTTCGCTAAAAAATGTCGCACAAAATTGTTTATAAAAAAAGTTTTGTTCAACTTATCGCAAAATCCCTAGTTACTTCCAAAGATAATGTTATTGTAAAGTTTCACTCAAAATTTCAAGTCAATCGGATAAAAGGTGTTCGAGTTCTGATTCCGCCCGATTTTAAAAAAGCGATTTCGAGAAAAACGCGTTTAAAGTTTCAGTTTCACCATTCACAGATGTGAACGCGGCGGCAAACGGATTACAAAAAAGGGATAATAGAGATTTTTCCGAGCTTTGAAACCAAGTGTACCTTATTTCTAAGACCTTAAAGCATCGTTTAACAAAAAAAATCGATTTTTTGAAAATTCTAGAGTGGCTTTACCCCTTAAAGATCGTATTTCCTTATTCGTTACTAATTCATTTGTCATATCTTTTTCTATTTTTTTATGTTGAAGGCAGATATTCTTAAAGTAAGTACTGTTAATGGCGCACAACGATTTTCTTGATATAACATGTGGTTTTCCTTCTACTAAAAATTTAATTGATTCCTCATCTTTATACTCGAACTTATCAAAGCTCGGGTCTTCAAAATATGTTACATCTTTTGAAATTTTTGTTGACGATGGCAGTAAATTCATACATATAGTTTTATTTATCAGATTACAAAAAATTTCAAACTTGCAATTTATTATAAGCGTATTTTCAATCCTAAGGTCAGGTGTCAAGAACTCAATTAACAATGTCATATTCGATATAAAATGGATCTTGATAATACAATTACTCCAGACGATCGTATTATAGCAGTGATACATGAACCATGAAATGAGTTATTAGTAAGTATATTCAATTTTATTGCCTTAATCCATGAAGAATCATTATCACGTAAAACATTCACTAGAATCTCGCATTGACCTATTTCTGGAAACGACGGAATCATATGTTTGATCGTCGAAAAACGCTTATATTGTTCAATTGTCCATATATAATCAAATATAGTAGATTCAAGATTTGTTCGAGAACACGTCTTGATATACGAAGGTAAAAATAACGAAGCTACTGTCTGTTTCTTTTCCAGAGTATTCTCACTAGGGATAATCTCAACTTCTTTGTCAGAAATCTGAAAATAATTAACTTACTTAATTATAAATGATGAAAAAAAACAAACATCAAAATGTCTTAAAAGTTTCTATGCCTTTTAATAAAAAAGATTGAATTTCAAACAAATATCCTAACATGTAATAACATATTTATATAGGTATATAGATAAGAGCCATTTGAAATCCGATTTCACTAAAAGTACATAGAGATTATTGGGACATCCTATATTTAATTTTTTCTTTTAAATAAAAATAACATTTTTATTAGACAATAAAAAAAGTAGAATAAATTGCCAAATTGTAGAAGAAAACTTAAACACCGCTAGTTTCGTTGATGACAATCGATTTCTTAAATCAAAAGTTTTGTCATAATTTTACGTCAAACTTCAAGAATAATTAGTGAACTACTTTTTTGCCTAATTGTAAGTCTTACACAATCTATAAATCCTATTAAATTTAAGGAGACATATATATATTTACATCACACGTGCGTGGAAAGTGGCACATTACGCGCGTGTCACGCGCGTAATGGGCCACTTTCCACGAGGCGAGTGCGATCACCCGCACGTCCAATTTCCAACTTACAGCACTTGTTACACAAATAACTAATATATATATATAATATATATATACATTATCTAACTTTATACCCCATACGCACTTTAATATATATTATATATGTATAAGTCCAATTTTTTAAGTATTTTATAAATAAAATTCTATCTTAAATTCTGATATACGTAATGGATTTATCTGATGTAGTGTTCTTTTGCATTAAATTTTTTAATTGCATTTAAATTACACATACTAGTAGAAAATAAATTTGATATGAATGTTTATGAATTTTTTTTGTTATGTAGAATGAATGGAATTGTCGCTTCAGGAAATGTCATTAATCTATTGATTCGTTTATACAAAATCTTATGTGCTTTCTAACGTTCTAATAACACATAATCAATGAAATTGAGAAAAGAACTGTTAAGAACTTACTTGCTTTTCTTCCATTATGTGTACTTGCTTTTCCGTTGAATCTTGATCAGTTGAACTCAAGATCTCACGTTTCTCTAATGACATGCTTGATCGGTAATAAGTATTCGAACACCGTCCAGATGATGAAATTATTACACTAATGCGTGTACAGATGTGGCTCGAATTTCTTGTTTATCAAATCAAATTTTTAAGCTACTGCAGACGATGTGAGATGATGAATAATGAACAAATGAATGTGGCAGTCCCCACTCCCCAGTATACATGCGTAGCTTTTTTAGAGGGTATCCTCTCCACCCATGTTACGGCGGGCCCGCGGGCGCTATGAGATTGGCATCTCTGTACCTATTTTTTTTTGTCACATAGCATTTAAAAACCTTATTCGTTTGTTAGGCGTATTCTGAAATGTACTGACGGTACTGAAAATCTATAGCATACGTAAAGATAAATTATGGATTTTCAATATGATTAACAAACTTAGGAATGCACCCTTTATAATATACACGTTCAGCAGAAAACTAGCTTAATGATTCTGTATTATAATTGATTTACTTTAGGTACAACTTAAGATACTTAGATGCAACAAGGACCTAAAATTAGATTTACATGAAGAACTTTTATAATTCATGACTGTTTTCACTGGCACACACAACGAGACTAACTTCAAAATACTATTATAGAATATTTTATTGAAATTTCGCGTAGTCAAGTTCTACTGTAATAATTATAATTAATGAGTTGACTACCTTATTTATGCAATAATAACTGTTAATTGCTAAAATATGCTAGGAAAATAATGAACGAACAAATGGGTTCCTGATGAGGGGTATATCAGAAACTTCTTTATTATATAGATATAGATTATATATTTATATAGAATATAGTAAATAAAATACATTAAATTCTTACTTTACCTGACAGATCCGGCATTACATTTTAATAATATTATTATTATTATTTCGGAATTAAATATTTCTTCTACCCAATTATACAAAATTCCGGTTTCATAGTTTACACTTTGCCTTCCTTTACTTTAAAATTACCTTTTCCCAAATCGAAAATATAATGTTATTTCGAATTAAGCAGGAACTAGATTAACAAGAAATATACAATTAATTAAAAAGACCATATTGTTTTATTTTTGTTTTTAACAAGAATCAACATTTCGAGATTGTGAGTTATTAATTTAAATTTTCAAAGAACTATATATAGTACACATCAGGATCATCTACAGAACGATTGGAAATTTTTAATAAAATGTAGTACTGATTTGCCCACGGCCCGCGGGCATATACTTAACGAATGGCCGATAGCCGAGCCAAATGCCGACAAGATAAAAGATGTAAAGTGGCACATCAAAGATGGAACGCTGCATCATATATTACCCATTTATAATAGCGGAGTGGAAGTAACGTCTTATGACAGCAAGACCGGTGAAAAGTTGAAAATCCGAAGAGTTTCTGCGCCGTTCATAAGTCGAGAGACAGAGTGTGTTCTTAATTAAGTAAAACATTTATAGATAATATAGGTTTGTAACAATTCTTATTTTCCATTTTCTTGCCCATTGCAATTGCGCATTGGGCAGAATTCCTGTACTTTATATTAGTGAATGGGTTGAACTGTAACATATTAAAAATTTAACAAAATTCAACGGTTGGTTGTCCCCTTGTCCAGTTTCAGTAAGCAAATAAAACGTTATGACGCTTTTCAACCAATCAGATTTATGTAAAATGCTTATTCGAATCCTGCATTAATTTTGCTCTTTAAACAGTGTAAAAATCAATTAACCCACTGCTTTATAAGGGCTCATAGAACGATCAAAATATTTCCAGATATATTTAAATATACTCGACTAAAACAATGTTCAATAATAAATCTTGTTGTATGACGGATGATAAAAAAATACAGCCTGTTTCTTTTCTCTTTTTATTTTTAGTAGGGATATCTGTTCGTGTGACGCGTGAGGAAGGAAGATGGATGATGCCGAGTTATGTAGATGTTATGTAGGAACGTATTAACACTGATGCAAATTAAGATATAAACGTAAAGTGTCACTTTACTAAACAGCCTAAATATACAAAAAAAAAAGAGAAAAATTTACACGAAGTTTAGAATTTTATAGAGGTAGACCGAACGGCGAGTGTCCCGGATCGAATTCCTTTAGAGTTAATTACATTTTCGTTTACTGTAATTTAGACTGTTCGCAACCAAAAGTAGGTAATGATTGACGACAATTAATCGACTGATGATTGACCGACGTAAGAAAGTCCTGCAATTTTTTATACTCGAAATGAACAAAAAATATACCAGAAACTCTGAACCCTTGGCAACAGCGAGCGGAAATGATAGATTTATTGGCTTCTCGGAATCGTTATGACTAACAGTAAAAACTTTTTAAATCAACCCTACTGGCTATAATTTTTTTTTAATTCTGACAATACGATTATTACATGGTTTTGGTCAATTAATTGTTAAGACGTTTCGACCATGAGTTTTGGCCCTTCTAATTTGATGTAATTTTGATGCTGATATATACATAAATCCTATTTAAATAATTTATTGCGCAATAAATTTAATTGCGCAAATAATTAAACGTGTTGTCAATTAATTGACAAAAATGGTCGTATATGGTCACGACAATTTAAAAAAAATTATAGTTAGTAAGGTCGATTAAAAAGTCCTTACTGTTAATTATTCACTGGCGAAGTAAATGTTACTATTCGATTTGTTATGATTAAGTTCGCGAACACAGCGAGATAGCAGCTTACGTTTGGTCCCGTCTTGATTACGTTTGAAATCAACATGCGTTCAAATCATCGATCGCCGCAGAAGCCCCGAGAACAGCTATCAAGTTTCGTTATGATAAGCGTTGAGAAGAAAATCGATATAATGTCGCACGCCTGCTATAAATCTATCGCTATCCTTAAGCTATCGCAAACTCGAATATTTCTATTTTTATTTTTATTCGAGAAATCTGTAAATAATCAACCCATTTATCATTGCTAAAAACAATCAATATTTCTTCCGGTGAAATATTTTGTATAAAATTTGCAGTTGCCGAAAGGAGCTGAATAATCAAATGCTAGATCTAAACGAAGAACTTTTATAACTCACGACTATTTTCGCTGATCGTAAGATTAAATTAAAAATATAAGAATACTTTTTTAATATTTCTATTAAAACGAACATCTTTGTATGCAATTCGCTCAACATCACATACGTCTCTAAATTAGAAATAAAGATAAATAAACTGGTAAAAAGATAAATAATATTAAAATATGAGTTCATTTATTTTTTCATATATTAAGGAATAATAATAAATTTGATTGTTTCAAATAAATCACATTTTATTGAACTCGAATGACAATATCAAAAAAGCAAATAAACATTGAAAAGCAAAAATCAAGCCTAAATTTACAAAAAAAATTAATATTTCGTTGAAAAAGGTAGTTGCTAAAGACTCCGACGCTATAATGTGTATGTACGTTAATGACAATATCGAAAACGCAAATAAACATTGAAAAACAAAAATCAAGCTTAAATTAAAAAAAAATATATTTTGTTGAAAAAGGTAGTTGCTAAAGACTCCGACGCTATAATGTGTATGTACGCAGAATAATCTACAGAACGAAATTTTTAATATGACATAGTACTGATAAAAATAAATGAAATATTTACAGGTAACATAGGTTTGTAAGAATTCTTATTTCCCTTTGTTTTAAATCAACCTGTAGACTTGAGAAAACTTATAACTAAACTACATTAAGTGTAATTAAAATAATAGTTTTACTCGTACATTTAAACTTAAGTCAAGAATTATTTTTAATTTGTATTAGTACTTATTTGAATATAAATTCTCACATAGTGTTTCTTAAAGAATGCCTAGTAGTTTCATCAAAATTTTTTATTAAAAATTGAGTTGCAAAATTCTGAATCAGTACGTCAGTTAAAGTACGCTCGGTTAGAGAATGGTGCGACTTGAATTGACTTTAGTCAATAATTACTGCTGTATAGATTATGCATTAGAATTATGCATTATAGAAAAAAAAATGTTTCAGATTTCTTCGACTCAATTTTTGACAAAAAATAGCGCTATGTAATTAATGGACGCTCTTTCAGAAACACTCGGTATAAAAATTAAAAGCTAGAATATATGTAGCAAAGAAAAAATATACTAATTAAATAAGAAAAATATCTTTATCATATTTTATGAATATAGGACTGCAATATTACATGCAATATTACATTCCAATATTTGCAAATGTAAGTTCCTTATCTGCCTTAAACGGTAACAAAGAATGATGGGTACTGCTTTCAGGTAATTAACTTTCCCCAATAAATTCCATTATCTTATTTAAATTCTCTTGTGGTAGATCTCGAAATTCTTTAGTATTCTTAATCCGTTCTATGTAATATTTAATATAAATCTTCGAAAGTCTTGCTAAAAATTTTGTATTAGACGAAAGCGCAAACTGTAGAAGTTCTATAGCATTGTCAATAGTAATACAGCATATCAAATTACGTTCACAAATTAATTTTAATCTTGGTACATCATACTTATCAGCTGCTGTTAATAAATCTTTTAACGTCCAATAATCTTTTTGTTCTATTGAGCCAGTTGCAATATATAATAAAATCTGATAAAAAGATCGTATTTCCTTATCCGTTACTAATTCATTTGTCATATCTATTTCCTTATGTGTAAGGCAGATATTTTTAAAGTAACTACTGTTGGTGGCGCACAACGATTTTTTTGATATAACATGTGGTTTTCCTCCTATTATAAATTTGATTGATTCCTCATCTGGCAGTAAATTCATACATAAATATGGCGATAAAATTGTCTGCTCCTTTTTCGGTGTATTCTCGGTAGAGATATCCTCAACTTCTTTATCAGAAATCTGAAAATAATTAACTTACTTAATTTTATAAATGGTGAAAAAAGAACGAACAACAAAATGTCCTAAAAGTTTCTATGCTTTTTAATAAAAGGGATTGAATTTCAAACAAATATCCTAACATGTAATAACATATTTATATATATATAGATAAGAGCCATTTGTGAAATCCGATTTCACTGAAAGTACATAGAAATTATTGAGACATCTTATATTTAATTGTCTCTTTTAAATAAAAATAACATTTTTACCAGACAATAAAAAAAAGTTGAATAAATAGCCAAATTGTAGAAGAAAACTTAAACACCGCTAGTTTCGCTGATGACAACCGATTTATTGAATAAAAAAATTGTATTATAATTTTACGTCAAATTTCAAGATAAATAGTCACTTTCTTGCCTAATTGTAAGTCTTACACGATCTATAAATTTTATAATATTAAATTTAAGCAGACAGTTATATTTATAACTTTATATACTCCATGCGCACTTTGACGTATATGTATGTATAAATCCAATTTTTTAAGTATTTTTTTATATTACATATAAATAGAACTTATAAATATTAATGAATATAAATTAATATTTATAAATATATAAATATAAATTATATCTTAAATTCTGATAAAAGTAACGGATTCGGCTGATGTAGTTTTTTTGCATCAAATTTTTTAATTGCATTTAAATTACACATGCTAATAGAAAATAGACTTGATATGAATGTTTATGAATTTTCTTTGTTATGTAGAATGTATATGGAATTGTCGCTTTAGGAAATATCATTAATGTATTGATTCGTTTATACAAAATCTTATGTGCTTTCTAACATTCTAATAACACGTAGTCAGCAAAGTTGAGAAAAGATGTTAGGACTTACTTCCATTTTATGTAATTTTCTTTCGATGTATTGCTCTTCCGTTAAATCTTCCATTGAATCATCCGTTGAATCTTGCATTGAATCATCCGTTGATTCTTTCGCTGAAGATTCAGTTAAACTTAATCTTTTCTCCAAATAAAGTTTCTCTAATGACATGATCTCGGACTCGGACATGCTTTAATTATACACGAACACCGTCCAGATGATATTATTAGACTAATGCGTGTATGTACAGATGTAGCAACTGATTTCTTTCCTCTTCCCTTTATCTTTAGCAAATCAGGTTTCCAAGCTACTGCGAATGTAACGTCAAGATGTGCGAAAAACAATTAATGTGAATGAACAAATAAACGTGGCCACTGCTAAGATATCAAATTCGAGCTCCAACTCACCTGCAAGATATATGTAGAGGTAGCGAAAACCGGCCTGAATAGCATGCGGTAGCACGTAGAAGGAACGGATCGCGACGATCGCACGTGCAGCACTACACATGTAAATAAATGCCGTGTATGTACAAGAGAAAACATGTATACTACCAATGTGCGCGTTCAGCAGACCAAGCCGCTCAGTAGCAGTCGAACATGATTGGCTCTTACTTTTAGAACCAACCAATCAACATAGAGTGTTGATAAGACGAACTCAACAGTTGTGTCTGCTGAACGCGGCCAATAAGAAAGAGCCACGTACATGTTATCACACATCCTATTGGCTCTTTCTTTGGTGCGTGCCCCTTCCACTTATCTTATAAATTAGAATTTCTCTAATCAGAGCCATCTGGCAAACTTAACGGTTCTAGTAAAATTCTGCGAGAGAGAAGAATATACATTCATATCTGTATTCCGAAATGTACTAACAGTACTGAAAATCTATAAGATACATGTAAATTATGGATTTTCAATATTATTAATACATTTCGGAATACATTATATTTTATAATTAAGTTATATTTAACAAAAAAATTTATAATATAACTTAGGATAGGATATTCTTTATATGATTTATTTATTTCAAGTATAACTTAAGATACTTTATATTGTTAGATGCAATGAGAGAAACTAAAGGCAGGAATCAAATAGAGTAATTTGTAGGGGAGAGTTGGCAATTACCGCGCGGTTGACAATTCCGCGCCATATTGTTTATTTCAATAACTATTTGTATTACGCGCCTACAATGATGTTAATATCATATAGAGTAACACGAAATACCCCACCCGCATGCGCCGTCAATGCGTTCCGGCCGTCCATGTAAACACAGTGCGCTCTGGAAGCTCTTCTGCTTGCTCGTTGCAATTTTGCTGGTAGTTTCGATAAGAGGTGAGTAACATAATATTTTCATTAGAGAAATAAATTTGGCAAATTTGATAGGCTAAAACACTATAAAATTAGGTTGCAAAGTAATTAATTTAGAAACACGCGTTTCTTTCCTATATATTTTAATGTTGTAAAGTGAAATAATTGAGTTTGATAATTTCGCGCCCAAGGTATAATACTCATAAGTATAACGATAACTGTGTGTTAAGAGTTACCAAGACTGTTTAGTTTACAATGTAAGGTGCTTACAGAAAAGATCGTTGCTTAAGTTTTGATTTGAATTTATAATGATCTTTATTTGTTAACGCATTCACTTATTTTTATATGTAGGTACCTACTAGACGATATTAATATCACTGGCTGAAGCCAGAGTAATTTTTATAGGTACAGTTTTATTAAACTGGGTACGATTTTATAAGACCTGGTCACGATATTATCAGACCAGTTTGATAATACCGCGTTTTTTCACTTTTTGAAAATTTATTAATATTTCAGTTTGTGTCTCGGTTTGTGTTTAACTTTCAAGATTATTGCTATGATATATGGATAGCCAAATAAATGACCTATCTAAAACTGCACAGTTTGTTTTTTTGAAGCATTTCTGAGCTTATTAGATATACGCTTCGGTTCTTAGGGGCTCGGTAATTGCCAACTCTCCCCTATATGATTTATTTATTTTAAGTATAACTTAAGATACTTTATATTGTTAGATGCAATGAGGAACTAAAGGCAGGAATCTCAAATAGAGTAATTTGCAGTATATAACTATTCCACTATAGTTTCATATACCAACACAATTCAATATAAAACCGGAATTGGACTTATATGTATAACTTATTCTTGTGAAACTCTTTCGAGTAAATTATAAATATATCACGCGAATCACAATAAACTCAGTTTCAGTAAACAAATAAAATCTTATAAAGCTTTTCAACGAATCAGATTCATGTAAAATGCTTATTCGAATCCTGCACTGATTTTGGCTCTGAAACCAATGTAAAAATCAATTAAATCCAATATTTTATAAAGATTCATAAAGACTCTTCTAAGGAAAACGAAAGTATTCTGATCGGAATCTGTCTTGAAATGTTCTATAATATGTGCCCTCGTATCTCTGTGCCAAAGATGCTTTCTTTTGTCACATAGCGTTTAAAAATCTTAAGGGTCGATTCAGACACAACCGTGCCGTACCCGTACCGTATCCGTATCGTTAACATTAGACAAGGATGGAGACAACATTAGACAAGGATGGAGACAATAGGTATCCTTGTCTGATGTTTCTGTTTCGTGCACGGTACGGATACGGCACGGCTGTGTCTGAATCGACCTTAATTCTTTTGTTAGGCGTATTCTGAAATGTACTGACGGTAGTCGGTACTGAAAATCTATAGCATATGTAAATATAAATTATGGATTTTCAATTATTAATAGACTTAGGAATGTACTCTTTATAATGTATATGATCAGCAGAAAAATTAGCTTATTGTTAGTAATTCTTTATAATTGATTTACTTTAGGTATAACTTAAGATACTTAGATGCAACAAGAACCTAAAACTAGATTTACATGAAGAACTTTTATAATTCAAAATACTATAATATTTTATTGAAGTTTCGCGCAGTCAAGTTCTACTATAATAATTAATGAGTCGACTACCTTATTTATGCAATAATAACTGTTAATTGCTAAAATGTGCTAACAAAATAATGAATAAACAAATGGGTTCGATGAGAAATATATCAGGAACTTCTTTATTACATAAAATATACATTAAACGATTAAACAGAATACAATGAATTCTCACTTTACCTGACAGATCCGACATTACATTTCAATAATATTATTATTATTTAGGAATAATTAAATTTCTTCTACTCGGTTATAAAGTTGCGATTTCATAGTTCACACTTTGTATTACCCTATACTTTCGAATTATTATACCTTCTCTCAAAGCAACAATATAAAGTTTTATTTCGAATTAAGCACAGAAACTTCTAGATTAACAAAAGATACTAAATTAACCAAAAAGATCATATTTGTAACATTTTTATTTTTAAACCAATCTCTAGATTTCGAAATAATGAGTAAAGGTGCCTTTTCACGTTAACGCTCGACCCTCATTTTCAGCAAGTAAAAATCTTCAGAAATAATATCTTTTATTTATATATGTATCCATAAAATATTATTATTTGAAGATATTACTTGAAAATAATTACTATTTTACGTATTTCGAAGTCTATGTTTGATTATACTGGGACGATTAACGACGATTCAGCGACGACGCTGAATATTAAACAAATTCAACTTCATTTCTTTGACGCTAACGTCAAAGCACCACGTTCACCTTATTGACGCTCATTTTCAGCGTCTCATGAATTGGCACCTTAATAAAATTTAACTCCCATTTGTAATTTTTGCGAAGCATTTTCTTTCATATACCGATGTGAAAGTTTTTATTTAATCGCATTTTATTGAACCCCAAACAAAAAAAACAAAAATCAAAAGTTTAAATTCATGAAAAATAATTTGTTTGGTAAAAAAGATAGCTGTTAAAGATTCTGATACTATAGTACATACACAGGATGATCTACAAAACAATTAAAAATTTTAATAAGATACAGTACTGATAAAAATAAAAAAACATTTATATATTGTATATATAGAAGATAACACATATAGGTTTATAAGGATTCTTATAATTTTCCATTTCCTTTTGTTTTAGATCAACCTGTAAACTTGAGAAAGTTTTAACTAAACTACATTGAGTATAATTAATAGTAGTTTTATTTGTACATCAAAACTAAAAAAAAAAGAATTATTTTTAATCCATATTAATACTTATTTGCATATAAATTCTTATACATCTAAACGTTAATAATTATAATTAGATTTCTTAAGTGGTGACAAAGAAAAATGATCAGTGCTAACTCCAAATTTACTTTTCTCAATCAATTCCATTATCTTATTTAAATCTTCTTGCGATAGACTTTTAAGTTTTAAGGCATTTTCAATCGTAAGACTGCGTAACAAATAATGTTGACACGTTAATTTTAAAGTTGGTACATCATTTTTATCAGCTGCTGTTAATAACTTTTTAAGCATCTTATAATCACCCTGATCAATTAGTTGTAATATATAATAAAACCTGTTTAAAAGTTTGTAACTCATTTCTCGTTAATATCGTTGCCATATTTATTTCTCTTCCCTTATGTGTAAGACAGATATTCTTAAAGTAACTACTGTTGGTGTCGCACAATATTTTTTTTTTATATAACATACTCTTCTTCTCCTACTATAAATTTGATTGATTTTTCAGACTCAAATTCAAAAGTTAAGTCTTCAAGAGATTCTACCTCTTTAAATACCGATGCAGATGGTTGTAAATTCATGTGTATAGTATTATTTATCAGTAGATGAAAAATGTTCAATCTTGCAATGTATTACAAACGCTTCTGTAGAAATGTACGAATCATCCGAGACATCAATTAACAATGTCATATCCGATATACGACACGAAATCGATCTTGACGCTAAGACTGTTCCAGGCGGATGCATTATAGTAGTAGTACATGAACCGCTAAATGCTGTATTAGTACGTATTGAAATTCGTATTGCACATAGCAAATCTTGACGTAAAATATTCATTTGAATCTTGTATTGGTTGTTTTCTCCAAATGGTGGAGAATTTAATGTATCCATATACGATTGCAGAGAGACGTCCAAATTGATCAATTTTCCTTGTATACCCAGACGTAGTCACATCAAATGGTGTTTGAGAATAGCTCTTGGTATACGAAGGTAAAAATGGTGAAGATACTTTCTGCTCCATTTTCGTCTCAGTATAGGTATTTTTATCTTCTTCAGATCTCCACAACTGAAAATAATTAACTTACTTATGAATAATGAAAATGATCAACATCAAAATGTCCTGAGAGAAAGTCTCTATACTTTTTATAATAAAATAGATGGAATTTCAAACAAATATCCTAACATGTAATACGTTTATACGCTTAGATAACAGCCATTTAAAATCGAGTTTAATCACAAACTTCTACATATATTACTCCAGACTGCTAACTCGTACAGCAGCTTTCTTTATTGTGGGATAGAAATTTATTTAACCGTTGTCCAAGTGAAAACATAGAAGTCTGTGAATTGAACTTAAAAAACATAGAAATTTTTTAGACACCTTATATTTAATATATTTTTCTTTAAATAAAAATAAATTGTATGTTAGACAATCACAAAAGAGTTGAATGAATAGCTAAATTGTAGGAGAAAACTTAAACATGATTATTTTCGTTGATCAAGATCAATTTAATAAATACTTGAAAGTTATGACTTTTGTCATATTTGTGTCAAATTCCAAGAATTATTAGTAAGAGCTGCTTTTTGCTCAAGTCTTACACGATCTATAAATCCCATTAAAAATTTAAGGAGATACTTATATTTAACCCTTCGCAGAGTAGTGGGGTTTTAGAGACCCGGTCGATATTTCAGTTTTTAATTTTTTGGAGATTTTACGGGCTCATAAAAAAACCCCCAAACAAGAATCAAGCATATAAACAGTATAAATAGATTTTTAATGTCTTCGAAAGTATACTTAAATATTTCAGATTTTTTATGGCACTATTACAGCTTGAAAATCTTAACTGCTCTAAAAGACCCACACGGTCGACGGAAGCAGCAAATTATACATGTTCTGCGAAGAGTTAAAATTTTATCCCCCTTCATGCACATTGATGTATATGTATACAAGTCCAATTTTTAAATTATTTTTTTATATTACATATAAACAGAGTACTGTCTTGAATTCTGATACAATAAATTTATCTGAAGTGGACTTTTTGCATTAATAATTTTACTGATTAATAATTGCACTGAAATTTCACCTGTTAGTAGAAAATAGATTTGATACGTGTATAAATATATGCATTTTCTTTGCTATGTAGTAGAATGCATAGAATTGATACTTTAGGAAATTTCATGATTAATTCGTTATACTTCAAGTCTTATGTGTTTTCTAATGTTCTAACAACACGTAGTGAATGAAGTTGAGAAAAGAACTGTTAAGAACTTTAGTCGATTTGCTAGTATGCGTACTTACTTTGCCGCTGAATCTTAAATCAGTCGAACTAAGATCTTGCGTTTCTTTATCAATATCTACGATGATATTCGAGCACTGTCTAAGATATTGTAGATAATGATATTAGATTAATGTGTGTATAACAAGATTTGACAACTGATCTCTCTGATTTCTTTTTATCAAATCGAGTTCTCAAGCTGTTGCCTCTATAATGCCTGTTGCGAATACAACGTTAATCTGTGATGTGAAAAAAGATGAGAATCTCAACAAACGAACGCGGACAACGCAGACGCAGTTACTCACTGCCACGGTTGTATGTATACAGTGTACAGGTCACTACAGATTGGATAACTTTGGTGGTGGGGGAAGGGTCCGCTAACATTACAGAGCTCTCACTGTTCACACTTTGCCTCTCTCTTATCCTTTACTTTCAAATTATATTCCCTTAAATAAGTGATAACATAAAGTTTCATTTCGAATTAAACGCAGAAACTAGATTAATAAAAGATACAAAATTAACCAAAAAGGTCACGTTTCGTTTATATTTATAATTTTCAAAACAAATATAGATTTCAAGAAAGAAAATAATGATGAATTATCAAATCAAATTTAATTTAAATTTTTGTAGCCGACATATAATTTGTGTGAAGTATATTTTCTTCTTCTATCTTTGTGTAGATGATCGGACCGTATATTTGTATTAAATCGAATATATCTGTATTTACATAAATTGCTCAATATCATATATGCCTTTGAATAAGAAATAAAGATAAATAAACTGGTAGAAAAAAAAAAATAACGAAACATAAGTTATTGATTTTTTATCTACATATATTAAGAAATAATTATAAATTTGATTCTGTTCCGATTTAATCGCACTTTATTGAACTCGAATTAATAACAATATCAAAAACGTATAATTATAATTACGATAAATATTAAAGGGCAAAAATCAAGTTTAAATTTATGAAAAATAATTTGCTCGTTGAGAAGGGTAGCTAAGATTTGTTAAAGATTCTGACACTGTAATATGTATGTACACAAGATGATCTAAAGAAAAAAACGATTGAAAATTTTTAATAAGATACAGTACTGATAAAAATAAGTAAAACGTTTATAGATAACGTAGGCTTATAAAGATTCTTATTTCTTTTTGTTTTAGGTCAATCTGTAAATTTGAGAAAATTATAACTAAACTATGTTAAGTACAATTAATAATAATAATTTCTTTCGTACATCAAAACTCAAAAAGGGAATTATTTTTAATCCATATTAATAATCCATATTAATCCATATTATGTGCATTATATAAATTCTTATACATATAAAAGTTAATAATTATAATTAGATTTCTTATGTGTCTTAGGTGGCCGACGAAAAGGATTGAATTGTGCTGCTTTCAAGCGTTTCAAGTTTCTCAATAAATTCCAATACCTTATTTAAATCTTCTTGCGACAAGCTTTTAAATTCTTTAGTATTTGTAATTTCTTTTATGTGAAATTTAATAAAAGTTGTCGAATGTGTTTCTAAAAATTTGGCTTTAGACAACAACGCAAGCTGTATAAGTTCCACAGCATTTTTAATCGTGATATAGCGTAGCAAATAATGTTCACACGTTAATTTTAAAGTCGGTACATCGTATTTATCAGCTGCTGTTAACAACTTTTTAAGCATCTCATAATCACATTGTTCTACTGAGCCAGTTAAAATAAATATTAAAATCTGTTTAAAAGTTTGTAACTCATTATCCGTTGCTAATTCATTTGTCATATCTTTTTCCTTTCCATCATGTATAAGACAGATAATTTTAAAGTAGTTACTGTTGGTGTCGCACAACAATTTTTTTGATATAACATACTGTTCTTCCCCTACTATAAATTTAATTGATTTTTCATTCTTAGATATGAATTCAAGAGTTGAACCTTCAAAAGATTTCACCTCTTTAAATACCGTTGTGGATGGTTGTAAATTCATGTGTATAGTGTTACTTATCAGTTGATGAAAATGTTCAATCTTGCAATGTATTATAAACGCCTCTGTAGATATGTACGAATCATCCAAGACATCAATTAACAATGTCATATCCGATATACGACACGAAATCGATCTTGACGCTAAGACTGTTTCAGGCGGATGCATTATAGTAGTAGTACATAATCCGGTAAATGCTGTACCAGTACGTATTAAGATTCGTATTGCACATAGGAAATCTTTACGTAAAATATTCATTTGAATCTTGTATTGGTTGTTTTCTCCAAATGGTGGAGAATTTAATGTATCTACGATTGCAGCGAGACGCCCAAATTGATCAATTTTCCATGTATAGTCAGACGTAGTAACTTCCAATCGTGTTTGAGAATAGCTCTTGGTATACGAAGGTAAAAATGATGAAGATACTGTCTGCTCCTTTTTCGAGACAATCTCATTGTCAGTATAGCTATTCTCATGTTTCATTCCTTCAGACCTCGGGGTGAAACTCGGGTTCCATATCTGAAAATAATTAACTTACTTATTATAAATGATGAAAATGTGATCAACATCAAAATATCCTGAAAAAGTCGCTATGCTTTTTATAATAAAATAGATTAAATTTTAAACAAATATTTTAACATGTAATAACGCTTATACATCATGTATAGATGTATAGATAAAAGTCACTTGAAATTGGACTCAAGGAGAACAAAAAATCAAGATAATGTCATTGTGACGTCAAAATGACAGAAACAAGTCAAAGTTTGATCACTGAACTATTATGACTCCAAAATGACTGTACAATGACTCGTCATACAATCATTACATGATAATATTTTGACTTCCAGGATTTTTATATTAATTTTCGAAAACCTAATTTGTTCGACCACTTTCACAAATTGTTCTGTGAAAAAAGTGAATCCCTCTGGAAGTATCTATCTCCTATCTGAAAGCATTTATAAACGGGTGTTTTTAATTTCTGCGAGGAGATTATTTGGCACTTGATTGAAATTATTATATAATATATAAGTTGAAAATTATAGTATGTACTAAGGTAATAAATGTACCAATGTGCACGTATTATCTATATATCTGGACATTTTTATCATTTTACTCCTTAAATAAGTTATAACGGGAATTAAAATCAAAGAATCAAAGATAAGAATATTTTTCTTGTATTATATTTTTACATATCTTTGATTTTAATTCGCGTTATATTTATTTAAAAACTAAAATAATAAAGGTGTCTAAACATAAATTTTAAGTGTCCTTGCATTGGTACATTTACCTTATATATCAAAAAATTATATAGTGTTATATTAGAGTCCGTTTAATCTGTCTGGCCAACTTGCAGTCCTGACCAAATTTTACGAGAGAGAGGGATATACATTCACTATCGTTTTCTTTTTTTTTTTATATCTTTTTCTTTGTCTCTTTTCTATCTCTTTCTCTTTCTGTTTCTCTTGCTTTTGCTAAAAAATGGCGAATCAATAAAAAGTTGCTACCGTATAGCCAGATTCTGATTACGAAGGACTCTATAAGTGTTATATTATACACACATACGCACACATACACACACACACACACACACACACACACACACATATATCCCTTAAATGCCACACCTCTCAAGAATCTCGTAAATGACATAAGGGGTCTAAAAGACCCCAGCATGAAAAATGTCTCCTTACTCATTGATTTTTTTATCTATAGTTATGAAAATTTTTTTAAATGTTGTTCTAGGCTTAGAAAAGAGAATAAAATGCTTATATTGATAAAAGTTCAATTTCAACATAGTATAAAAAATGAAGTAAACTGAGTACTGCTAAGTGTACAAACGGGTAGGTCACGCACTCAACTATCATCAATGGGAGCATGAGCTCCATTTTTGGCAAGAACATTTGAAAACATTTCATTCTAAAGGGTCTGGGGTCCGCTGGACCCCACGGGGCATTTAAGGGATATATATATATATATATATATATATATATATATATTATATTATATATATAATGCATGGGAACTTTCCAGCAAGTGATACAAGTCGACACAAATATCGTTCTATATCTTTCTGTTTTGGCAATAAGTAAACCCTAATTGTGTCCACGGTGCTAGAATTAAATCGCTCCGAGAATTGTTTAAATGTGATTAATTAATTTTGTCTCTGTCTGAGATCTCGAAGCGATTTCTAGTATCGTGAACACAAGGCTTAACAAAGATAAAACAATACTTGTGTCGACTTGTGTTGCTTGATGGAAAGCTTCCAATATACACAGTCACTCAAATATATAATATGTTGAAAAAGTAATGTGAGTTCTCACGCACATTCTCTGAGAAAAAAATTTGTACTACAATTTGCATTTAATTATAATAAATTATTTAAAAATAAACTACTTTTTCATATATTTTCAAATATAAGTATATGTTATATATTAATTATGTTGGGGGGTTTAACTTAAAATACGTAGAAATCTTTGGGACAACTTTAATATATCTTTCTTTAAATAAAAATAACATTTTATGTTAGACAACCACAAAAAGGAATTGAATAAGTATTAAAGTAGCCATTTTACGTCAAATTTCAAGAATGATTACTAAACTGCTTTCTTGGTTAAGTCTTACACGATCTATAATTCCCGTTAATTTAAGAATAAACTGTTATTTATAATTTTACATTTCATGCATTTTGATATACATAATACATATATGTATAAGTTCAATTCTTAAAATGCTTTTCATGTCTATTACATATAAACAGGATTATATCCTTGAATTCTGATAAAAGTAATGGATGCATGTGAAATGTAGACTCTTTGCATTAATCATTTTTAATTGTGTTCAAATTACACATGCTAGTAGAAAGTGGATTTGATACGTGTTTGAATTTATGCATTTTCTTTGCTATGTAGAATGCATGGAATTGTCGCTTTAGGAAATGCCATAATTAATTCGTTATATATCAATTGCAATGTTTTATGTGTTTCCTAACGTTCTAATAACACGTAGTCAACGAAGCGTAGGCAACGTTGAAAAAAACTGTTAAGAACTTACTTGATTTGCCTCGTTAAATAATGGCCTTACTTGATTTGCCTCGCCAAATAATGGCATTTGCTTATTCGAATTAAATGCCATATTTGCTTATGCGTATTTGCTTTTCCGCTGAATCTTGATCAGTCACACTTAAGATCTTGCGTTTTTCTAAAGATATCCTTCGGTAATATTCCAACACCGTCCAGATAATAGCATTTATTAGACTAACGCGTGTATGTAGTACAAACACTGATGGCAACTGATTTCCTTTATTTCCTTTTATCAAATCAAGTTTCCAAGCTACTGCGAATTGTCTCGACGCCGCGATTGTGTTCGGCGGTCTTTGGTCGGTCTCGGCATCGCTCGGCGCTCCGAATCGATTGCCGCGGTATACATAAGTTCTTCGCGTGGACTTATACGACGCGGTTTAGATTAAAAATATGGCACACCGTGCCTTTCCTCGCCCGGGCGGATGTTCAGCCGGGCGGCATCCGGCTGATATTCGCCGGGAATAATGCGATTACGGGACGCATCGTTATACACTGTAATTTTGTTTTTAGTACCTTATAATTAATTTTTTGGTTTTATATAACTTTTTATAGAACGGTTATAGAACTATAGATCTCGCAAAATCAAAAATTATAAGATATAGCGGCGGAACTCGTGTAGGACAAAGTGAGACGCTGCATGAACCTATAATAGTGTCTCA